TCGACAAACATCATTTAAACCATTTTCTCTTTCTCTTATCAGCGAGCTTATCACTGACAGTTTGTAAACTAATTTTCCTTCTTGAATAACAGTTTTATCATTTACTTTTTGGAAAAATTTTAACTTTGGAATGAAAGTGTTTAATTTAAAATTATATAAACAAAACTAAATAAGTTAATAATTAAAATAAGTTACTTTTAATATTTACTAGTAACAATTCGCGCGTTTACGCTCGCAGCTAACTTTTTACTAACTTTTTAAAATAAAATTAACAATTTTAAAAATAATACAACGTAAAAATTTTTAAATCAAATTTATTTTCATAGAAATAAAATATGAATTGGAATAGGTATTTTTAATAATATAATAACTATAATAATCATATATTCCGATACTGGAAATTCAGGGAAAAATCAGGGATTTTTATTAAAAATACTAAACAAATTTAATTTTTAGAATTCATAAGAAAATTCTGAATTTTTGTTTCTTTTTTTGTTAGCCTCATAAATTATGAAATTACCACAAAAAATTATAATACAAAACAAAACTTTCAATTTTTTAAATTTCTGACAATAATTTGTTTTTATAACTTAATTTTTGAACAACTATCAATAAAATACTGGCTTATAAATTATAAAATGAATCATTTCACTCAAATATTTCACAATTAATTCAATTTTAAGAGTTGCGTTAAAATTTTTCGTAAATAGATCAACTTCAAAAAGGTTTTAATTGGAAATTTAATAAAATTTCAGTTTTGAATGAATTTAATTAGAAATTTCAAAGAACTTAGATTTTTGAAAAATTTTAATAACTCAAAATCTGCTAAAATTAGTTAAATTTGTCAATATATAGGTGCCTATTTAATTAATTATTAAAAATAATTGATTTATAGAAGAATTTTAGTTACAAATACTAAAAAAACTAAATTTTAAAGAAATTACAAATAATTGCAGAAATTCTATTAGATACTTTCAAAAGTAATAAAATTCTTATCACAAAATTCAATTATGTTCAAAATTGAAAAAAAATCTCGTCAAAATTCCATTATTTGCAATAATTTTCCTCATTTAAATAATTTTTAATATTTCTACTATTTTAATAAAACTACCCAAAAGAAATCAATTATTAAAAAAAATTTATAAAAATTGAACGCAAACATTTAATTATTTTCATAAATAATTAAAATTTCTAAGGAATTTAATTATTTACAAATTTTTTAAATGTTTCTTTTCAATAATTCAAATATTTTCATAAATAATAAAACTCATCGCAGAATTTCAATTATTTTTAATAGAATTTGAATCGAATTCCTTGAAAAATGTAACTATTCTTAAAAATTGTATAAAAATTCGCCAAAAGATTTCAATTATTTAAAAATTTTGTTATAAAATTCTTTATAAGAATTAAATTTTAAGAAACATTCAATTATTCAATAAATAATTTACTTATGTATTTAAATAATTGAATTCTCGTAGAATTTTCTAATAAAAATTGATTTAAAAATGTATTTTAGTTAAAATTTTAGATAATAATTGAATATAATAATTGAAAATAATTTTAAAGAAGAATAATTTTGCAATTAAAGAAATTCGTCAATAAATGTAACAGAACATTTTTTTGAGTAAAATTTTTTCCTTTATTTTCTAAAAATTAAAAAATTTTCATTTTCTATTAAAATTTGTAATGGACAAGTAGAACTTATAAACATTTTTTTCTTTAATTCTTAAAAAACTTTAAATTTTATTAAAACAATTGTAATTAAGAAAAAGAAATGATGTAAATTATTTCCTTATGAAAATTGAAAATTTTTTACAAAAATATTAAGAAACGGGAATATGAAATATTTTTTTTTTCCAAAATAAAAGTATATTTTCAAAGTTATCAGAATTTAATTTAATACAGAATCAGATCCTCTTTTGTCATCAAAGTTAAATTCAATTCATTTATTAGTTGCCGTGTATAAAATTCTTTTGTTTAAATAAATGAATATCAAAAGTCAACAAATCTTGGTGTTAGATTAATTTTAAATTAAATTGTTATTTGAATTATAAAATATATCAATTTAATTTAACTGTGGCTGTTTATCTTCACATTTAATTAAAAATTGCAAACAATTAAAATATAAAAAATAGCTTGGATAGCATGTTGTTTTAAATTTTCTCTTTCTAATATTCAAATTTGTTCTAAATTGAAAATTTTTTAATTAAAATTAAAGTGAAATATTGTTTGAATTTGAAATTATAATTCTCAAGTTGACTGTAATTTTATTGAAGTGAAATTATTTTCACCTCTCAAGCGGTCTGTTTACATTTAGATGCAAACAATGCCCAGGCGCCTTAAGGTGACTTAGGGGTGAGCTTACAATACAATTGTATTGCAGGTCAAAACAAGTTGAACGGAAAATTCATAGCACTAAATTTAATCTATTCTCATTAGTTACTAACAGTTATTCCTCCTGTTTAAACGTGTTCACTTTTTTTCGTTAACATACCGCAAAGTCATTTTAGAATATTTTTTCGAGAATTATTAATTAATTACTAATTAATATTAATTAAATATGAAAATTTCGAATAATAATAATAAGAATCTAATAAATAAATAATTACTAATAAAATTCTTTTCTATAAATTTTTATTATATAAGTAAATAAATATTTAGTTCTGGAATATTTAAAATACGATTTTTTACTTAAAAAATATTTGAAATAATTTTTAGTGAATTCTTTTGAAATAAAAATGAATTGCTTTAATAAAGTGAGTTTTTCGTGAATAGCGTTTTTTTATAAATGGTAGTATACTGTTGTTTACACGAATGCTCAAATTTGAAAAAGAACTCCATTGTTAAATAATAATGAATAATGAATAATAATAAAAAATAATAAAAAAAGGTTTTTTTTTCTAAATTTTGAATAACGGAAGTGTTCAAATTATTAAAACCACTATCACTTAATTAAAAAAAAAATTTTTTACGTATTATCAATATTTTTTCGAGTGATTCTTTTTTCCAATATATTTGTTTATTCTTTTTTTTCTATTAAATAAAAATTTCTAGTGAGTGTTTACACATTTTTTAAATTATAATCACCAATTCATCGAAATCAGAAAATTTTCCATAATTAATTTTGCTACACAATAAGTGTAAAAAAAAATGATAAACTAAACGTGTACCTATATTTATTTAATATAATATTTTTATAAAAATGTAAAATTCCGTTTTTCCAATTTCACCAGTGGTAAATTATTATTACACATTTTTTTCGGAAAAATGATTGACTGAAACAAAATATATATATGTGCTGTGATGAAAAAAAATTCTTTCTCTCATTTCACGAATGAGAGCACAAAAAGGATTTGAACATTTTTTTTTTCGAAGGTTTTAGCTCCATGAAAACTGACATATATTGGATAGCTAGTCTCTGACAATGAACTAAAAATACATAAACTAGAGAAAAGATTGCATTTATTATTATATTTTTGTATTATCTGGGCAAAAAAAAAATTCCAGTGTGTAAAAAGTGAATATTTCATTATTTTTTGTTATTTAATTAAACTTTGAAAAATTCATAAAACTTTTTTTTTATTAACTTTTTAAATTATGTATATTTATTAATTAATTTGAATTTTTTTAACAAAAAAAAAGAAGAGTGCCTCATTAAATATATGAACTTATTTTTTAATGACTGAAAAGTGAAATGTTTATCGTTATATTGGTCATTTATCTTTTTTCATGATAGGATATATAATCGTCCAGGGAATTCAATATCCGTTCCAATTTTAAAAATAAAACGGTAGTCAGATTTAAAAATAGTAAATGGGTGATATTGAACACAACAATAAATTTAAAGCCGAGCAATCTGATTCTTTTTTAATGGATGAATTTGGAATATAAATTTTTTAAATAAAAAATACTTTATTGACATATATAAATTTTTTTAATTACAATAGTCAAAAAATAACAATTGTTCCAGTTTTCAAATCAAAGCGAAAATTCTTTATTCCATCAAAATCTTTTGTATAAATAATCGCTGTTATTTAATAAATGAAATTCATTCAATTTAATTGAAGAATTTTCAGTGTGTCATTATTTTTTTTTATTAAATTTTAATATTTCCACTTTATTGATATTTTAAAAATGTATTTATATGTGTTTTAATATTTATTTTAATATCGATTGTCTAAATATTGGGTAATAATATTAATTAGTTAGTATTAATGATGAAATAAACAAATTTTTTTCCAGATAGGATGTTGTGTGACCTAAATTTGAAATGGTACTTAAAAGTTTGGATATTATCGAAATCGCAAAATTTCGCGTTTGAAATTTAACTTCATCGGCACTTCAAAGAGTCATAATTAATTTTAAAATTTATTTCGAATGTAAACAATTTTTGAAGCAGTTAATTTTTTTTATAAATTTTTTTAACTTTCAAATATCGACCATTGTTTATAAAAAATATTAAAAAATAAAAGTTTCTAAAATTAAATTAACAGAGAAGAATATTTAGTGAATAATTTTTAAAGACTAATTTCTAGAGAATTATTTTGTGGAAAATAATTTATAGAGAATGATTTTTGAAGAATTATTTCAGGAAATTAATTTTTGGAGAATAATGTATAGAAAACAATTTGTGGAAAGTAATTTGTAGAGAATAATTTTTGGAGAATAATTTCAGAAAACTAATTTTTAGAGAATAATATGTAGAAAATAATTTTTAGAGAATAATTTTGTAAAAAGTAGTTGATAATAATTTGTAGAGAATATTTTTTGGGGAATGATTTGAAAAAATTAAATTTTTAAAGAATATGTAGAAAATAATTTCTGGATAATAATTTCTTGAGAATAATTTGTAGAAATTAGTTGATAATAATTTTTAGAGAATAAAGTGTAGAAAATAAATTTTTATAAATTTTTAAAAGAATAATTTGTAGTGAATAATTTTATTTGTGAAAATGAAAATTTTGTAAAAATAAAAAAATTTATGAACTTAATAAACATACCTGTGAAAAGTAGAAAAATGAGAAAAATTGGAATTTGAAGAAGATGCAGCATCCATCGAATATCAGTTCCAAGTGTAGGGTCCGCTTTCATGATTTCGATTTAACCAACTGCTAACTTTAGAAATTGGGATCATTCACTAATAATCAAATTTTCCTTTGAAAGCCATCAATTAGTTCGATTTTCAACTTGCGAACACAAAACCACACAAACCGTAGTTGAACATTCAGATTGAAACTTTTTTCTAACTATGATAACGTTTTCATTAAAGTTGCACATTTCAGTTAAATTATTTTCCTCATCACAATTTTCTGTCTTTTTTCATTCACTTTTTTATTGTATTATTATTTTTTTTATTATTATTTGTAACTATTGTTCTTTATTATTATTTACTATTTTTTTAACTATTGTTTTTTTTATTATTTACTATTTTAACTATTTTTATTATTATTTACTATTGTTTTTATTATTTACTATTATTTTTACTATTTTTTTATTATTATTTGTTAATACTTTTTACTAATATTAATAATTCTTATTTATTACTGTTATTTATATTATATTTTTTATTTTTCATTATTATTTTATCACAAATAAAATTATAATTTTGTCCGTAACGGATTAAATTATATTCAATAAAAGTTTAAAATGTTTCCTCCCCAAGGATTGACATTTATGTTTTCTTTTTTTTATTTCTCTTATCGCAAAGTCTTTTCTTGAGAAAGGTTACACTGTCAATGAACTCACGTCAAGTAACTTAAGTGTCGAATTATAGTAGGTCTTTAAAGATCTCAAACTCTATCCATTCATTCTGAAGACTGATGATGGAGCGCCGCGAAGCTTCGGTTATTTAATTATGAGCAAAGTTTAATTTCTTCGAGGATGCGGTTCGTTATACTATTCAATGTGGCGTCATTAAACTCTCTCCCTCTCTCTCTATCACTTTTTCTCTCTATATTTTCACGCTTAATAGAACGTCTACTTAGAAAATCAACTATTAGAAATTTTATTATTTCCCTCATTTTCGGAAAATTTGCCTCTAATTAAAATAATCATAAAAAAATATGATTTCAAAAAACCAAAAGATGAAAATTTCAAAATCTTCATAAATGAAAAAATTGCTATTTTGTTCAATTTTCTCTCAAACAAAAAAAATAATAATCTGTCACCATATTTGGTACGAATTTCTAAAAAAAATTCAATTATAAAAAGTACTGAAAAAAAAATTTTGTACTCAAGTTTGAATTTGTTTTTTAAGGCATAATACAGAATATATCTATATAAAGTGTCTAAACTCGATTTTTCAATTTTTTTTTTTTTTTTTTTTTTATGAAATCATGCGTGAACGATAAATCATTTTTGGCTCTCGTGCCTGCTGCACGGTGCTGGTCTACTGATAACGGCTCACACAAAAATTTGTTATAATCCCCCCAGATTTTTCCCTGAGACAATTCTTTGACAATTTTGCTCGTTTTTTATGATTAATAATAAATGAATTAATAAATTTTAAAAGTTCTTCTCTATATGTTATATATACAATACAGGCTAATTATCGAATGGGTAATTTTTCTTCGATATTCGCGAAAATTATTGTCAATTAACGACTTAATGTCAATTCGCAGATAAATTTCCCAAAATATACATGAATTTGATGAGTTTATTATTTGCTTTCAATGTGCCAATTATTATTTCTCAATAAATTATTATTTATAAATGAAAAGAATAATAAAAACAAAAAAGAACATCTAATACTAAAATAGAAATAATATTTAAAAATGTTTAAATTAACATTTCACTTCGAATCAAGGAAAAAAAATAATTTTCATATTTTGTTAATAATAATTATAATAATAATAATAAAAAAGTTGAGATTAACGATCACTCCGAGAAAAAATAATCTTTATTTTTTTTAATAATAATAAATTTTATTATTATTTACTATTATCATAAAAGATAAGAATGTACACTAATAATCTTTTAAATAAAAATTAATCTGATGTAAAAATATTTCTCTAGTTAATTAAATTTTGAAGAATTGACAATAGAGACAAAATAATTTGTTTTTCAAATTTTCTAATTAAAATTGTTATTTAAGCGTAAAGTGATAAATTGATGCGTCATATAAAGAGAGTGAGAGAGAGAGACTGAGAGAGAGAGATGGGAGTTGATTTTCGCGCCTTAATTATGCAACCAAAAGTCGATGGCCTCGGTTACCCACTAAAAGTGAGCTTTTCTCCCCCTATTTTCAACGAAAATGGGAATTAAAGCTCCTTTTGGACACAAATTTTAACGAATGGCGCACTTCATTTCTATTTCGTTTATTCCCCCAACGAAAGCTTTGCGCACACACTGTAAACAACTTTTCCCTGTAAATGTTTCTCAAATCTTTAGTATTCAGGATAAAAATGCTAAAGCTCCGTTTATCCTATTGAAATTCAAATTTTTCAAAAGTTAAAATTTTTCTGCAAATCTTATATTTGAAAATTGCGATAAGCGAATTTTAAGGACGAGCTTTAAAGAAAACTTTATTTTATATTCTCCATCGTTCATTTTTTATTTATTTTTCTTTTTTATTATTTCTATTATGATATTTTTGTAGTTTGTTAGTCTTCTGTAGTATTTTTTAGTGATTTTTGTATTCAGTAGTATTATAATTTGTATTTTAAAGTATTCTTTTTGTATTTTTGTAGTATTTTTTAGTATTTTGTAATTATTTGTTTGGTTGTTTCTTGTATTTTGTAATATTCTTTGTATTTCGAAGCATTTTTTTGGTATTTTGTATTGTATTTGGTATTTGGGAGATTTTTGTGAGTGTTTGAATATTTCTTGTATTTTAAAGTATTGTTTTGTATTTTTGAAGTATTCTTTTAGTACTTTCTAGTATTTTTTGTCATTCTTTACTATTTTTGTATTTTATAGTATTCTTTGTATTTCGAAGTACTTTTTGATATTTTGTAGTATTCTTTTAGTATTTTTTGACATTTTGTAGTATTTCTTGTATTTTTAAGTACATTTCGGTATTTTCTATTAGTTTCGGTATTTTGTAGTATTCTTATGATATTGTGTAATATTTATTCTATTTAAAAGAACTTTTTTGTACTTTAAACTATTCTTTTAGTATTTTATAGTATTTTTTGTATTTTGAAGTTTTTTTGAGTATTGTTTTGAATACTCTTATTTTTTAAATTTTGTTGTATTTCTGGTTTTCTGAAAGTATTATTTTTGTGTTTTGTAGTATTTTTTGTATTTTGTGCTTAATCCTTTTCGTATTTTGTAGTACTTAATCCTTTTAGTATTTTGTAGTATTTTTTCTATTTTCTAATATTATTTTAGTATTTTGTAATTGCTTTTCTATCTTGTATTATTATTTCAGATTATTTTGAATTAATCCCTTATTTATTGTAACAATAATTAAGTTTTCAATCCCAATGAAAAATTGACACAAAAGCAACGATATTTGTTACAGTGGCAAAAATTTTCCGAGACACTTTCAAATTACATTTTAGCATTTTTTTTTCGATCTCGAAAAATATCGTTGGCAAGTTCTTGTTTTCTTTTTTAAAGCACCTTTTTTAATCCATCGAAGCACAAAAAGCACTAATGTATTAGAATTCCGATTCCAAAAAAATTACGACCAATTTCGATATATTTCTTTTTTTAATGAAAATTTGTTTACAAAATTAAAAAATTTGAAATAAGAGAAAAAAATTTAGGAGTAAAATCGAGATGACTTTTTTAAATTCAGAATTAAAGGGATAGTATCTGAGAATTTCGTAAAGGTCATATTTTTTTATCGTATATACGATCAAATACGTGTTTACCGTAGGGCACAACGCGGCTTACTAGCAAATGTCACGAATCTACTCTCTAAGGTGAAAAGAGAGAGAGAGAGAGTCCTCGGAGCTTGCGCAAGTTACGGAGCTTGCGCGACGAATGAAAGCATATTAAGCTTGTACGTGTGTGTGTGTGTGTGTGTTTGTGATCCTATAAAATTCCCCAGTTCCATTTAACTAATAAAAAATTCTATGGAAAAAAATAATTACTGAAAATAATTATTTTTTAAAGAAAAATATTAATAATTTTAATTTAATATTAAATTTGTTCCTTTTATATTCGGTATAAAGGTTTTATTTTTTTATATTCACATGGAAATTTAAATTGAATTTAAATATAAATTTCTCATGTTATCAAATGTTAGCTTTTTCTTGTATCTACAATATTAGGAATTTCTATGTAGGAGGAATTGTTCATTTTAAATTCCTTACTTCAAAGAATTTCAAGCAACATTTTACCATCTCTAAAGAAAATTCAGTGAAAATACTTTGTGGAATTTGTAAACGTAGTTCATTTAATCAACTTTGATGATAATTTAATTTTAATTTCTAGTGAGAGAAAAATTTGTACATAAACGAATTTTTTTATTTTTCTTTCTGTTGAATTTAATTTGCTTACTTTTATTTTTTATTTTATTTAGCTTTTTTTAAATTCTTTTTTTGCGCATAAAAGAATTTTATATTAATTTCATTTTTTTAGTTTTCGATTTAATTTTTCATTTTACTTTTATTTGCACGTAAAGAAATTTTTTATGTCTAATTCATTTGCTTTTAATATTTAATTAAATTTTTTTATTAGTAATTTTTATTTTATCAAATATTTTATTATTTATTTTCTGTATACTTTTTTCATTTATTTATTTTTTATAATCATTCTTTTCTACTTTATTTTATAATATTATTTTTCGTTTCAATTTTATTTTCTCAAAGAGCCTTAAAAAAGATAAAGAAACTTTGTTTTCAAGGGATTAGAGAGAAAATTTATATGTTTACAATTTTTAAGATTTTAAGTAAACTTAATTATTATTATTTTTATTATTATCATAATTATTTATTATTATTATTATTTTATTTTATTTTGTGAAAGAAATGGTGAAGCGGGAGAATTAATTTTGTTTATTAAAATTGTATTTAAGTACTTTGTAACAATGTTTGGGTGAATAATGTCTATATATTCCGGGTTAAAATAAACTACTTTTGATAGTCTCCTATAACTATACAACGAAATTTCCTATCCGCAGAAACACTTGGCCACAAATTCAATCTAAAGGGAAACAGGTTAGTTCGAAACTTCACAGCATGAACGTAGTACTCCGGACATAATAGAATCTCATTATAACATTGTAAAATTAGAATCGATGCATATTGCGTTTATATTAAAATATTTAACTTTGAATTCAATTCGTTTGTTTAGTTCCCATTTCAGTGGAAACACGTTACTTGTACATCATCCATAAATGTTTCTGCATAGTTTTGTTTCAAATTCAAATTTAAATGACAACTACAAAATTAAAATTAATTAAAATTAATTAAAATTAATTAAAATTACAACTACAAAATTAAAATTAATTATTATTTCATTTTGATTATGTATTTGGGTACAAAAGAAATAAATATTAAATAATTTATTTAAATTACTTTTAAACACAATGAATACTTTTTTATTAAATTACCTTTGGGTAAATACTTTTTTTCATTAAACTATACCTTTTAAGTAAATAATACTTTTTGCGTAAATAATACTTTTTTTCATTAAAGTACTTTTTAGGTAAATAATATTTTTTTATAAAATTACCTTTTTAGTAAATAAATTTTTCAATTAATTACCTTTTTCATGAATAATACTTTTTTCATTAAATTATCATTGGCGTAATTAATACTCTCCTATAAAATAACCTTTTTGCTTGAATAACAATTTTTCCTTGAATTTACTTTTAGGTAAATAAAATCTTATCACTAAATTACCTTTTAAGTACAGAACTATACTCTGTTCACTTAATTACCTACTATAGGTAAATAAATTTTCCTCAACAAATTACATTCTGTCTAAGTATTGTTTTATTAAATTATCTTCTGAATAAAATAAATTTCTTCTGATCTTCCAAAAGAATAATGTTTGCGAAATAAAGGTGACAAAGCAGTGGCAAAGTTTGGTAACAAATTTCTTTTTATTCTTCGGCAATTGTTTTTTATATATAGGAAACATTACACTGTACATCATATTTTTCAATATTAATATTACATTTATATTTATTTATATATAATATATTGATGTCGATTTAAACTTAACGTTTAAGACTTATCTGTCGCTTATTTGGTATATTTTTGTGTTGATTAGGTACAAGACTAGGTTTAAATTCATTAAAATTTTCTCCACTAAAACATGTGTTTTGTTTTCTCTTCTTTTTTAGTGTGCTTTTTTTATCCACGCTGAATAATTTTATACAAGATACTCGATATATATTTACACAAATACTATATTATTTTATTGTACAAATATTAATGAATATTAATGATTCCTGTTTCATTATATGTGCAATTGGCAAACAAAAGTCGAAAAATAATTTTTCGTTCCAAACATTTTTGAAAAAAATAAAATTAATGATAATAATAATCATAAGAATAAAAATATTTTTTAATTAAACAGGAATCATTTACATTTGATTGTGTACGTATTTTGTCAATTCATGTTAACATTGTAATTTAAATGATATATTTTTGTCTTTTTTGTAGAAAAATCGCAAAAAAAATCAGACTAGCAAGTTGTAGGAAAATTCCTGTACAGTAATTGTACTTTTATAATTAAATTGTCGATTAAATTCGATAAAATACAATAATTTCGACGGTTCATTAAGAAGAATTTTATAATTAAGGTGAATCGATGAAAGACAAATTTATCTTTTTAATTGAATACTGTTTTTTTTAACTTTTTAAGTGAAGAATCGTACAATATCGTTGTAGGGACAAAAAACATACTTTTAATATGTTAGTTTTACATTTAGTAGAAACAAAAAACATTTTAAAAATACACTTAAAAAACTAAATTTTTTATAAAAAGCGTTAACAAACAAAATCTTAAAATAAGCGCTTTTAAACAATTAGATTCACTCTTTGGTTTATTTTTCTTTATAAGAAACAAAATTAACAGAAAATTAATAAAAAAAACATATTTTCTTTACGAATAAAGTTACAATTTATATTACTTTCGTTTGTTATGATGAAATTGTAATAAATTTGTATTATAATTATAATTCATTTATATTCTAATTATTTTTTTATTATAATTTTTTATTATAATTTATTTATATTATAATTATAATTTTTTTATAATAATTTATTTTATAATTTATTTATATAATAATCATCTTATATCCGTATAATAATAATTTTACGTGTTATATTTACAGAAATACATTTCCACACTGTGTATAATTTTTTTTTTCATTTCTGCAATTGATTTTAAGCATTAATTGCAAAAAGAATTTTAGATATGATGATAGTAATAGTGTAGCTGTTATTATTTTACAGAAAAAAATTTCATTCTCATCACGTATAGAAATTAATATTTCATATTTATACTCCATACGGATTTGAATGTGTTTTCATTTTTATAAATAATTTTCTATTCCATAGACAATAAAATTTTACTTTTACATTTAGAGTTCATGTTATGCGCATAAAAATTCCTCTTGTTTTTTTTTTACAATTTTGTTTCAATATTTACAAGTACGATTATTTACAAAATTTACCATAAAATTTTCGATCCGGTAATTCGTTTTTATCAATTTAAATTTTTTTTCTTTTTATAATTTTAATGCTTTATAGATTTAAAATTATACTTAGTTAAAAGTATAGATTTTTCGAAAGAATTTCTAGTTTGATGAATTTTTTTTATCAATCTAGTAATTTAATTGTTTAGTAAATTTTCCTCTGATTGAATAGTAAATTCTTCATTTTGGATTTGTTCTTTCTTGAATTTTTGTTTTTTTTTTTGCGGAAAAAAGTGAATTCTCTCGAGACTAGTTAATCTGAAAAGAGAATTTTTTTATTAAAATTTTATTATTAAAAATATTTCAATTTTTGTCTTTTTAATTTCTTTCAGTTCTTTTTAATTAACAAATTTCGATTGAATAAATATTGAAATATAAGAATATTATAAGAAAATTTTTTTTGCAAAAATATTTTTAAAAAAACATTAAGTTTTTTCTAATCTAAAAATGAATATTTATGAGAAAGTATGAATAATAAATGAAGAATATTAATTTTCTTATTCTAATTGAATTATAATATTGGGTTTATTGTTAGAACTCACCTATATTAAAACAAAGAGGAATTGAAGTATTATTAGGACCAGGGCTAACGACCTTTTGCTGGCATTATTAACTGTAACAGAAAGAAAGGGAAATTTGATTAATTATGCATTTATATTTGTCAAATTATGTTTGTCATTTCTATCTTGAGAATATATTATACGGAAAATAATTAATTGCTTCTCATTTGTTTGTGAATATAATTTTTTTTTGTTTTTTTCTTTTCAATAATATACGGGAATAAAATAATTGCTTTCTCCGCGTGTATCCGAAAAGTGGAATAACAATTTATATTGCTATTATTTCTGACAATTGAGTGTGTATGTACATAGTTAGGAGAGGAAGGGTTAGGTGAGCCGGATAAAATTTAACGAGGGTGTACGATGTTAGAATTTATGGGTTCGCTAAACGATGACACTATACATGTACTTACATATGAATAGAGGAATATTCGAAGCAATCATGCAAATATCTCGGGTTGTTTGGTTTATCAAAAAAAAAAAAAAAAAATAAGAGAAAAAAACGATGGAAGCATCCTCTTCATGCTCTTGTTAGTTATGCAATAAATAAAGCAAGAAATAATTCTATATTCGATAATTTCTAACAGAAAACCTTTTTCATCATTTATCTCAGGAATCTGTATGCTTGATAATGCTTTTTTAAAAATAATTCTTCGAAAATTCTTTTTTAAAAATACTTTTTTTAAAAAGTTTTCGAAAATTTTTCTTTAAAAAACACCTGTTTAAAAATACTTCATTAAAAATGATTTTTAAATATATTTCATTATTTTCATTAAAAAAGCTCTTTTAAAAATATCTTTTTTTTTAAATTATTGGATACCCAAATTATTTTCAAGAAGCTATCAAAAAGTTTTCTTTAGAAAATACTTTTTAAAAATATTTCTTTAAAAAAGCTTTTAAGAAATTTTCTTTAAAAAAATTCTTTTTATAAAAATATTTCTTCAAAAAGCTATAAAAGATCTTTCTTTGATTAATAGTTTTTTAAAATACTTCTCTAAAAAGTTTTTGAAAATTTTTCATTTTATATATTTAGAAATATTTCGTTAAAAATGCTTTGTTTAAAAATTTCTATTTTGAAAGTCTTTTCTTAATAAAATTTTAAGTTCTCTTTACAAAATACTTCTTTAAAATAACATTTTGAAATTTAAAAAAAAAATTACTTCTGTAAAAAAGCCTTTAGAACGTTTTCTTTAAAAAATACCTGTTTAAAAAAAACTTTTAAATATTTAATTTAGAAATACTTCTTTAAAATCAATTTCTTAAAAGGATTTTAATAATGTATCGAATTTTTTTTTAAATACTATTTTAGAAAGGCTTTCGAAAAATTTATTCAAAAAATAATTTTTTAAAAATATATCTTTAAAACAGTTACAAAAAATCTTTACTTAAAAAATACTTTTTAAAAATACTTTCCAAAAGTTTTCTTTAAAAAATACTTCTTTAAAGGAGCATTCAGTACGTTTTCTTCAAAAAATACTTCTTCGAAAAAGCTTTCAAATATTTTCATTAAAAATACTTCTTTAAAATTTTTTAAGAAATTTATCAAAAAATTTTCTTTACAAAACACTTTTTTAAAAAAGCTTTCGGAAACATTTTTTCGAAAAATCCTTTTTAAAATGACTTCAAAAACGCTATTTCAAATAAATAATTTGTTAAAAATTCCTTAAAAAAGCTCTTCTTTAAAATAAATTTTTTTTAGCAAACTAGTTTTGAGTAAATAATACTTCTCGTTTTATTAAATATGCATAAGGTATGTATAATATGCGTAACTAAATTAATAAAATTATCGTTTCAGTCAATAAAGGCTGGAAAAAATGTCTGATTAATTTATTTATTAAGAATTAAATTCCCCTTTGGGTTTTATTTTTTACACATAATAAATATTACTCAAAAATACTTCACGAAAAAATTAGAATTGAATTAAAAGGCAAAATTAATTTTTTCACCCAAAAAAAAAGTAATTAAAAACTACGGAATATTTTATATTTTAAAAATGAGAAACTGTAAAAGTAATTATTAAAAAAGTTGACTGTATAGTATACACACACAAAAGTGGAATTTATTCATTGAATTTGCAATAAAAAGAAAATACATTGCTGCAAGTTTGAAACAGTTAATTTAAACTTAGTTCTCTAGTCATTGTATTTAAAATTTTATTTAAAGCGATCCCCTCTCTCTCTCTCTCTCACTCGTTCTCTTCCTTTTGTCTTAATTGCAACATTAACACATCCAACGATAACTGGGTACACCGAAACCACAACCGGAAATAAAAGGAACTATGTCCATTTGCATTGCATGAAAAATTCATAAAACTTTACTTTATATGCTTGTCATACGGTATATGGAAAAGAAAAAATTCATTTCCACTATATGAAGAGGGAGAGACGGAGAGAGAGAAGGAGAGTTAGAATACATAGTATATATATTTTGGGGTGTTTATTACATGAGGACCTCGTTGTTTATTACTTGAAAATTCTCGTTAAAAAATATTCCCGCGCATATTTAAAATGAGGAAAAAAAACCCAAAAAATAAAGAAAAAAAAAATTGCCACGAAAATTATAATAATGATGGAAAATGAGCAAACTATTTTGCATACTCTTGTCTCGTCGATTTCTTCTTGTTATTTTTTTTTTCTCATCTTTTTCACTTATAGCTTGTGAAATTATTCAGCAAGCAGCAGATGCCTATTTTCCTTCGGATACTTTCGAGTCTAAAGCAGGAAAAATAAAAAATAAAAAAAAGTACTCGAGAGAAAAATAGAACATTGCTGGTGCTGCTGATGTTAGAAGAGACAATGTTTTCTTTTTTATCTTAACGATTTTTTATTATTTGAATATCAACAGCAATAACAATTTTTTTATTTTTAGTTTATTTCTTTATTTCTATTTTCATTTTATGGTTATTTTATTTTCTTTTTTCTCTTATTTTCATTTTATTTATTTATTTCAATCTTTACTTTATTCCCACTCTGTTTATTTTTCTTTTATTTTATTCTTAGAAAAACTGTGATTTATTTATTTACATAAAAAATATTGAGAAATTCTTTTTTTTAAATTTTTTTTTATTTATTTTGAAGTCATGTTTCATCATAGACAGTTCAATTTTTCCGATTTTTAGAAAATAATTTTCCTGCAAATGATAGTTGGATAATAATTTAAGAGGCTATTTTAAAAGCAGTATTTAGATTGTAAATTTTATAGGAATTTTAAAAATCAATTGAAGTGTAATATGAATTTTTTTTAACACAATTCACTGATATAGAAACAAAGAAAAAAATATGATACACGGAAATAAAAAATTTCGATAAACAGTAGTTAAATGTCAAAAGCAGAATTTTCATTTTTTTTTTTAAAGAAAAATAAAAAATTCATCGATCTTTATTTAATTGTAAAATTGATTGAAACTATCTAAATTAAAACAGGATTCATTTGAAAAATAAAAATAAATGTTATACACAAGAATAAAAATTCTATTAATAATAAAAATAGACAAAAATATTTTATTCGTTGAAAATGTAATAAAATATTCAGAGATTTTTTTCTATTTTTAAAATTGATTTGAGTGTTAAAAATAAGAATGCAATTTATTTAGGATGTAAAAAAAGATATAGACGAAAGTAATCAACCCAATAAATTTTTAATTAACAACACTTTTCTCTTTAAATAATAAATATTTAATAAAATTATTGAAAAAATTAATTTTTTTTCTATTTGAAAATGAGTGGTTTAAAATATTTTTAGGTTAGCAAAGCTTAACGCAATTATTTTCAATTAAAAATCAGTAGTTAATTTTTGTTAAACAAATCTTTTCTTAGTATTTTCTCTTTCAAAATCTGTATAGTTTGTTAATTTTAGTCAGATAAAGCTTTATGGAATTTTTTTTTAATTGAAAATCTAAAGATAAAGTTGCAAATCAGATGTTTTCATTCTCAATGTTTTTAATGATCAGTTCAAATAAATTTTAGTCAGACAAACATTTTCACAATTATTTTACATTAAAAATCTGTACTTAAAGTCTATTTTATAAAAAGAAAATCTAATCAAAGTTTTTAGTTGAAAATCAATAATTTCAGGCAATGAAATTTCAAGCAAGAAAAAATGTCAAAATTACAAAATATATTACATAGGAAAATTTCAGTTGTAGAGTTGAACATTCAGAATAATTTATCCATAAATTTTTTTCTCCAAAACAAATTTTTTCCCCAAATAATATATATATCTATTTTTCAACTTTGAAATTCGAGTAAAAGAAAATTTTCTTCTCAATAAAAAAAAAGAAAGTCATCACAAATTCGTTGTCTCGTTGAGAGCAGAGGAAAACCTTAAATTTCCCACCAGGAATCGAGGTACCATCGCCAAAAAATAAAATTACCAGGCTCTTCGCCAAAAGCGAATTCTAAATCGTGTCTTGAAAATATTCCGAGAGAAAGGATTTGTCGTTCATATGCGATTCGACACTTCTTCGTCCTTCCAATGTGCCAATTCTCAGATCACCATTTACGTGAGCCATAGTCTGAGAATAAGGGGTGAGAGTAGTTGTAGGTGGTGGTTATACATATCGAGAATATATATAGATGTAAATATATATATATATGGAGAGAGAGAGAAATTCGAGAGAGAAATAAAAGAGAAGCGAAAAATATGAGTCAAGAAAAATAGAAAGAAAAGTGTACGAATCGCCTAAAGCATAAGGCATAAGCTATTTTATGCAACCAGTCAACGTCCCAGTGGCTTATTCAATGCCTTCGGTAACGTCTCCAACCTATCCCACCAACGCTTTTCCTCGGGAGTTCAAGTCCCATTGGGATACGTCTCGATCTTTTGTTGATATAAAGGAAGATTAGCGTCTACCAGTTAGACTATATCTTTAACTCTCTCAATATTTTTAAATTCGGAATTTTCAATTATTTGTAGGGAATATAAAGAGAATTACAGCGAGAAATGTTTATGTAACACCTGGAAAAGAATTTACAAGTCTGACTGAAAATGTCTCTTTCTACTGAAAAGAATTATCAAAAAGATTTCACATGTTTTTTTTTTGTAGCTGATGTCT